GCACAAGTATCAATTAAAGAAACTGGAGTGTTTAGCTTGGACCCAAGAAGATTTAGAAGGGCCTTGATGGTTGTCTTAAGGATTGCAGAAGCTGTCCTGTGATAGCCTGGGTCATATTCTGCTTGGCCCCACAGGGCAAAACTGGGGACGTGGGTTAGAAAGTGGTGAGAGGCAGATTCAGCCTAAATGCCGAGAAGAATTTCTGAACCATGACAGCTGTTTTAAAGTGTAATGGACTGTCTGGGAGTCAGGCCCTTCCCTCATTACAGTCTTGAGGGAGAGCTGGAGTCATTGCTTCTCTGGATATCCTTGTTCTGGCATGGGTTGGCCGAGAAGCTCTCTGGGGTCATTTCTAACTCTGAGATTCTGGAGATACTAGTTTGGTTTTTTTCCATTTCATAGAGCACCTCATAGTTTTCAAAGTCCTTTTACCCCTTATTTGATCCTGTAATAACTATCTGATGACTTGAATCCTCACAGTGACTCTGAGGTTGGTGAGTAGGCATTATTCCCAATTTACTGGGGAGAAAGTGGGCTTAGAGTGAGGCAGTAACCTAGTGAAGTTCACTGACCTCCTTGCTGTTCTACATATAAGACTCTCCCATCCTGAGACTCTCTAAAGTTAGACCAGGAGAGAGGGAGAAGTGCTCTTGGTAAGTTATTGGAAGAGCCAGGGCTCTTCACTTCTATTCTAGTGCTTTTTCCAGTGTATTCCACCATCCCTCAAGGGAGGTTGTAGTACTGAGCCCTGCAGATCCTGTTTTTTCTTTAAGCAGCTGAACTAGAATCATTCTGTAGGTGGAAGGATGCCTGTAATGAAAATGACCAGCCTGTAGCTGGGAAGAAGCACCATGGGGCTGACAGGTCCTGGTTTTTCAGACCTTCCACAATGTAACCCCATCCTACTTCAACCTTTTTTATTAACCATTTTGTAACAATCCACAACCTAGATCATATTTTTAAAATAGGAAAATTGATTCTTCTTTTTACACAGGTTGGAGTATAGCAGCTTGTAGAGGTATCAGGTCACATAGTTGTTAGATACTAGCTCTTCTACCATGCTCAGCCACCTCATTTATACCTGTTTATGAAAGTAGAAACTACACCCCACTCTCACCCCATTCCCCCAGTTTCTAAGATCTCTGAAGACAAGGACAATATTTGTCTGATTTAGACTTTAGATCTCTATTAGCATTGATCAGTTTTCTTCACACAGGAAGGTTATAGTACAAGTATGTTGAATTAAATTTAGTGATTATACTTCCTGTTCTAGAAATGGAAATCTCACAAGCTGCTTGTCTCCTGACCCAAATATGGTGTCTCTTGTGTGCAGTCTTTTTAAAATCTTTTATAAATTAGGCCCTCCCTAAAACTGTCTTCTTTCCCTAGCTCAAATGAAGCTATGACAACTTCTGGAAAAAAGCCAATGATACCAGGATCCCCCTTGAAAAAGTGGGAACTGTCAAAGGATGAACCGTATTTGTGAAATGGACATGGGAAGATGTACATACAGATGCTGAGAGATTGTGTTTTTAGGGGACTGACTTGAAGGCACGAGCTCAGCTCCAAAGGCATCAAGGAGAATCATACAGTGAACGTTATACCATGATATTTTATCTTGGGGTAGGGGAGAAACATATATCCTAATACATAATAAATACACTGACCTCCAGTATTTTTTGCATTTTTACTTGATTCATTTGAATTGCTTGTATTCCAGTGTAGAGACACAGATTGTTAACTATTCTCTGGGAACTGTCATCTCTGAAATTTGTGGATCCTAGAATAGGATAGCTAGGCAGCACAGCAGACAGAGTGTGGGACTTGGAGTAAGAACACTTGAGTTGAATTCTGGCCTCAGAAACTCCTAGCTGTGTTACCTTGGGCAAGTCATTTAACTTCTCCCAGCATCAGTTTCCTTATCTGTATGATGGGGATAATAGCAACACCCACCTCTGGGGTTGTGGTGATGTTCAAATGAGATAATAGTTGTAAAGCACTTTGCAAACCTTAAAGCATGATATCAATGTTAGCTGTCATTATGTCAGAGCTAGGGAGAAGAGAGCATCTAGTTCAAATGAAGTTATTTTACAGATGGAGAAACTGAGATGTAGGCAAAGAGAAAGAGCTGCCCAAAGTCTTCCCCTCATTCTGAAGTGTCAGTAGCATAACCAGGACTAGAGCCCAGGTTTCCTGACTCCTAATCTAGAGCTTTTTTCACCACATCTCGTTGCCTGCTTTTAATATGAGTCAGTGGTGGACATGTAAGAAAATCCTCCTCCTCATCATCATAGGTAATGCTTCTCTGGGGCTTGCAAAATACATCTCTCTCTCTCTCTCTCTCTCTCTCTCTCTCTCTCTCTCTCTCTCTCTCTCTCTCTCTCTCCCTCTCTCTCTCTCTCTCTCTCTCTCTCTCTCTCTCTCTCTCTCTCTCTCTCTCTCTCTCTCTCTCTCTCTCTCTCTCTCTCTCTCTCTCTCCCCCTCCCTCTTTCTCCCTCTCTCCCTCTCCTCACCTCATTCCCATTAGATGGACAATACTGAAGATTTTTACATGTGAGCAAAGAGATCATCTCACAACAAGGTTAGGTGACTTGTCTGAAAGCCATTATTACTAAGTAAGTGATAAAGCTGGCCATGGCATCCAGATTTCTTGACCCTAAGTGATACAGCTTAACAACATTTCTGGTACCCTCAGAACCAAATCCAAATGACTTTTTGATTCTTACATCATTCCTTAAATCCTTCCTTTCCTTTTGGGATGGGGTAGGGGGGTGTTGTGTGTGTGTGTACTAGCACTATGACTGTGGGCAAATAAATTACTTAACCTCTTTGGGCCCCAGGGAACTCTAATTGAAGAATATTGATAAATTTGCATTGGTAGAGGGAGTTCCTATGCCACTAACATGACAAGTTCAGACTAAAAAAATAAATGCTAATAGATATTTGTTGAATTGTGTTGCAAGCTGGAGCATATTCAGACTATAGCTATAGGGGAGGCTTGTGGGAATTCAAAAAAATCACACAAAGAGCAGTTGAAGGTCCTGCACTATTTAACCTAAAGAGAAGACTTCTGGTATGTGTGAGTACTGTCTTCACATCCTGAAGAGCTGTCATAGAAAAGAGGGAGCAGATTTATTCCTTGGGCCCAGAGGGCAGAACTAGGAATGGTGGAAAGCTATGGGGCATCGAAGTACATCTCACTATAAAGAGCTGTTGAGAAATTAGATAAGCTGTCTCACAAAGTGGAGGAGAGGTCACCATCTCTGGAGGTTGTCAAGCAGAGCCTGGGGTGGCCACTTGTGGGAGCTGCCATGTACATGGCTGAACTGAACAACTAGTACTCAAACTTTCTGGAGTATGAGGACCCTATTTTAATGTAAAAAGTTTGAAGACTCATACATGATAGTAACTGCACAGTTAGTAGCTATGCTGTTAATATTCATTGACTAAATGTCTAGTATATGTATGGTAATGTGACAGGTGCTGGGGGTACAAAGACAAAAGGACAATCAGTGTCTGTC